TGAAGAAATGTGAGAAGACATCATAGCTGGCTAGTACAGGAAATGACTTATCAGAGGTCCTACAGCAAGTTGGGGACAGATTCAGGGCTAGAAACAGAATCAATAGAATAATAATAATGAAAATATCCAGATTCTTTTCATGTGTGCTACTGAAGTAAACCTCAGCGTTACTGAGCTGTTCATTCATTTATATTTTTAAAAGACTGCTGATGTGTGGAGGAGACTGTAGGGGAGCCAGTGTGGAGAAGGAAAACTAGTTAGGAGCACTGTGGTAGCTCTCTAAGGCAGAAACAATAGTAGGTTGGACCAAGATCAATAAAATGGAAATGGTGAAAAGTGGCCAGACTTGAGATCTATTTTAGAAAGAGAATCACAGGGCCTGCTGCTGGGTTATATGTAAACACTAAGAAAAAGAGAAAAATAAGGAATTAAGAATAACACCTAGGTTTCTGTGAAGATTAAGGTTGAAGTGAATTTGGGACAGAATCAAGAGTTCTGATGTGGACATATTAAGTTTGAGACATGGAGAGCTCCATTAGGCACTTGTACATGCATGTCATTGCATGAGACTTGGCATCTAAAACTTCAGGACCTGATGAACTTGCCAAGGAAGAGAGTGTAGCTACAGCAGAGGGCCCAGCTATTCTCTGAGCCATCTTTTCTACATATACTGAACCCCTCTGCTGGGCTTCCAGCCAGAAACTTCAATGGGAATCATAACCATTATTATGGTGAATACCACAGAATGAGAAGCCAGGTTCATCCCTCAGGGGGTGACTAAAAAGTAGCCAAATAGACTGCTAAACAAAAACCAAAACTTCTCTATCCAGATTTGTCTTGATTTGTCATAAGTGGACCCTTTGACCAATTAAAGAAATGATGAGACTGCCCTGCTCTAGACCATTTTGACATTTGTCTTCGGGAGATAGCTTTAGAGCCAGGTTTTAAGACCCAGGGACATTTACCAAACTTAGTTCAGATGACTATAGGGGTGCTTTCTTTGGTAGATTGAAAAAGTAGCCACAGTATTTTACAGCTCTTGCCATCAAAAGATGGCATCTATTTCTCCACTCCTTAAAAATGGGCTTGGATATGTGACTTGTGTTAGTCAGTGGGACATTAGCAAAAATGATACAAGCAAAAGCTTGAAAAGTGATTCTGCAATTTAGCTCACCCTCTCTTGCTGCTGGGAACACTTCCACCGCCATGTGAACAAATCTGGGCAGCTTTCTGAAGGATGAGACCACATGGACAGAGGCCTCAACCACCCTAGTCATCTCATCTGGGCACAAAGACATGTGAATGAGGCCATTCTAGACCATCCAGTCTCAGCAAGATCCACCCAGCTGACCCACAGAACCATGAAGAACAATGTTTGTTGTTTTAAGTCACTAAGTTTTGGAATGGTTTTCTATGTTCCTCGGAAGACAATTAACTGTGAACCAAGTGGCCTAAAAATTTTTCACAGTTCAGATGTTTCTTTTTTCATCCTTACTCTTTTGGGAGGATTTATACTTAATCAGCCATCAAAGGTTTGAACTAATATATGAAAGCTTAATTGAGGAATTAAAGCAACAGCCAATGGATAGTGGGGGCATTCGGGTGCAGTGGAGTCTTTTTCGGGCCCCTGAAACAGTGCCACAAAGGTGACTCAGGTTTCCCAATTATGTGTTCCCATAGAATGATGCACCTTTTCTTCGGAGCACTGTTTAAGTACATTGGGATGGTTACTTTACAATGTCTAGACAACAAGCTACTAGACCAGCGATTTTCAACATTTCTCATCTCATGGAACATAAACTAATACTAAAATCCTGTGGCACACCAAAAAATATATTTTTGCCAATCTGACACACACAAAAAATGTGTATAATTTTGATTCATTCACACCAGATGGTTATTGTTGTGTTAGCTGTTGTCATCTGATAATCTAAAGGAAAAGGGTCAGTGGCCCTGGCTAAATAGTCAGGTATTGCATGTTTTCAAAATTCTTGCAGCACACCAGTTGAAAATTGCTATACTAGACTATACCTTTCATGAAGGCAAGGACTATGTCTGATTTGTCACCAGTTGTATACCGCCACATAGTAGACACAAATTTGTTGTATGAATACTTTACGTATAATGTTTTGCTTACTTTACATTAGGGATCCAGGCCTTCAAAAGCATCACCTGACAGCATTTGTAACTCATGGGCCTGTCTCTTTCACATACTCTCATCACAGGCTTCTGTTTGATATACTAGCTGTGTAGGTAATCAGGTGTAGGTTTGGGATGGGAAATCTAAAATCATTGAGATCCCAGGACACTGGTAGCTGTAATTCCTTCTCAATTATCCTGAACTGTTGGCAAACAAACATTCTTCAAGGCGCTAGGAAACTTGATACCCAGGGAAAGAGCTTTGGGGCAGGAGCAGGGGATGTGAATGGGAGTCAGGTCTGGAGGATGTTCATGTTCTGTGGATGTTACAAGGCTGCAGTCAGAAAGTAGTTGTGAAACCAATGTCTCAACCAAGGTTATTTAATTAATTCTGAGAGTCCTTGAGAGTGTGTCATTACCATCACCCCATATATCCTCCATCGGAGAGAAGCTGAAGAGGAAAGTTGAAAGAACATAGGTCAGACAGGAATGGGTTCAAATGATCCAAGTGGGTGACTTAGGCATGTTAACTTTTCCAAGGCTCTGTTTCCTTGCCTGCCAAATTGGGATAATATCTTAGAAACACCGCCATTAGGTACCGTACAGGCAAGGATCATTTGTTTTCATCTGTATTTATGTTAATATTTCACAGTACCAGGCCCATAATATATATATATAGAACAGGTGAATTTTTCCCCAGAGGTGATCTAAGACCTACTCCTGGCTCCATTGTAAATGTACTCTCAGAGTGACCTTAGGACATTTCCTCCCTCTCGCTGGACCTCAGCCTTCCTTTTTATAAAACAAGGAGTATGGACAAGATTTTCTCCAAGTTTCCTTCCATATCTAATATTCGACAAGCCCGTGACCATTCAGTACACTCTACCCCCCCTGCTGCTTCTAGAAGTTAATAATGCTACAGACTGAGGAGACAATGATAAATCACGAATAACTTTGTATTTACAGGTACACATGCATTTAAAACATTCTATAAATAGCTACAATACTGCATTGCACTTTTGGCCTACTTTTGTTTCTTTAGAGGTCAAGAGGGTTTTTTTTTTTAATTCTTTTATTTGGATTGTTAAACAAGATGAAAACTGGGACAAGTTGCCACTAACACATATCATGCAGCTTGAGCCTTGGTGGCTAACTGTGCTATTACTGTGATTGATGAACATTGCGCTGCAATCAGCTGGAAGCTGCTGCCTTCCACTTAGCAGAAACGAGGTCACAGAGCAGGTCTGGAGAATTGCCATCTAATAAGCAGGTCTATTTGCCTGTCACCAGTAAAAGCGTTTGCTACTATTACATTTAACTCTTGATTCCCTCTGTTGTAAAGATGCTTGCTCCCTTGAACTAGCTCCTGAGTTTTATAGAATTTGACAGTTTTAAAATAAAATTTTCAATCTTTGCCAGGATATTCAGTAGGAGAGAAAAGATTGTTTGATACATGTACTAAAATATCCTGGGGTCATGAGGATCTCAGTCTGAATTCCTAGTACTAGGGTAGATGGATGTTACTACCCAGAAAAATAGTAATTCTCCCTGACTTGTATGGGACTTGACAGTGTAAAAAGCACAGCCAGAACTACTGCCATGTGAGGAGACCATGTTCTTCCATTGTCAGAGAATCTGATCGTCACTTCCCTAAAAGGCTCCATTGCTGGAGCAGGCAGGCTGCTCAAAGCACTGCTGGAGAGCTACATAAGAATTGCCTGACTAAGACAGGTGCAGAGAAGCACTGGGCATTTTTTGCTCAGCTTCATGGGATCTGGTTGCATAAGAGACAGAATCATTGAGCAATTTGTTAACAGATTAGAGATGTAAGTCTTTCCTCTAGTGGACTTGAAATCTGTTGGCCTTGGTACTGACTCCTAACATGGCTCCAACACTTGCTAGGTTTGTGATCTTGGCCAAATCCTTTAACTTCTTTGGATCATAGCTTATCTATAAGAAATGTAGTACAGAATGTGGTGATGAGCACAAACCTTGGAGCCTACTGGCTGGATTTGAATCCATTTTCTATCATTTACTCATTATATGACTTTAGGAAAGCTAGAGAATCTCTTTGTACCTTAGTTTCCTTACCTTTAAATGAGGTTGATTATAGTGCCCCCTCACGAAAATGTTGGGAAGATAAATGAGTTAATACATGTAAAGTGCTTGGAATAATGCCTAGTACAGAGTAAGCATGACATCAGTGTTAGCTGCGATGACATTGGGGTGATAATCCTCATGTCTCGGGTTTATTATGCAGATCAACTGAAATCATGAAGGTGAAAAAGAGTCACAGAGTTATTAGTGCCAGAAAGGACGTTAAAGATTATCCAAATAACCCCCCTCATTTTATAAGTGAAAAATCAAGAATCAGAGATGAGGAATAACTGGTCAAGCATCACACTTGATTTAAGGGAGAGTCTAGGTCTCATGATTCCAAGACCGAAGTTCTGTCCTCTGCGCTGCATCAGAGAAAGCACCATCTCCATAGGGCTGACTCTGGAGGGCCTTTTTATATAGTCCTTGAACCTGTTGCTAGTTAATGTACTTTCCTAGAACAATGAGCTGCATTTAAAATGGAGCTTGGGAGAGACTCTCCCCACTCCTTCACTGACTTTTGAGATGGCATATTAGTGCAGGGGAAAACTGCAGATTCAGTCCAGAGTTGCAAGACGGGATTTTCAGAAATCATCACTTAGTTCCACGTCATTGTTTCAGCTAAAAATCAAAACATGTGCAGTGTCCACAAACAAGCTTGCATCATGAGTTGATCTGTTCAGTTTATCTCTAGTGTCCAGAGGGTTTTTCGTATTTTGTAGGGTTTTTTTTTTTTATGGGGGGTGGGGGGGGTTGGTGTTTAATTAAGCAGTTTCCTCCAGGAGTTGTTTCACATCTGCTTTTTGGTAAAAACTAAGGTTTTACTCCCAGGAGAATATGAGGTTGGGATTGATACATTTGGATTTAATTTTCCCAGTTTTTCAGGGTCATGCCCCTCCTTAGATTTATTCTGCTTTGAATCACATTTCCCAGTTAGACTACTCAGGAGTGATTGAAAGATGGGCTGGGAGAAAGGGCAGGATGGGGAGAAGACCCTGTGAACACTGGCAGAAGGAATCAGAGCTATTTGACTTAGCAAAAGGGCACATCCCAGGGATCATGGTTTCTGTTCTCAAGTCACCTAAGGGTGTCATGGGACAGAGGGAGCAGACTCTGTGAGGCCTCTGACAGCAGTGCTAGTACAAATTGAGTGAGAAAAGGAAGAATATCTAGGTGACAGATTTCAGCTTAAAACAAGGAAAAACCAGATTATGATAGCTGCCCAAAGATGGTGTGAACAATGAGCTCCCATCTCTGCCCGAACATGTGCCTCAGAGGAAGAGATTTTTGGTCATGAGTCCTGACAGCCACTTACCTATCAGAGATAGGAATGGAATTAACTAGTTAGACCAGATCAAATTTGGGACCCTACCAACTCCAAATTTTTCAGATTTGGGGAATTTAAGAACCAATGACCAATTTCTTCGAGTTCCCATAGTTTAGAACCAGCTGGAAAGATTCAGAACCAACAAAATCAGCAAAATCAGAAATTTATGACCTGTTTCTCTATCTTGCCTGTTTCTCTTTCTCTTTGTCTTGAGCTCCCTGCCTTGCTCTTTCATATAGCAGGAACCTTTGACATTTTGCAGGTAATAATCTTTTCCTTTTACGTGTGTTTCTGACTCAGCCTTTGCTCCTTCAGTATCATTAGAGAGCTCCCTCTCTCTGGAGATTAGCTCTGGCCTGTCACCACAGCAACTGCCCAGGCCCCGTGGGCATCCGTGGTGACAGACTTAGGACTTTGAGAGCCGAAGCTTCACTTGCAATGTGAGGAAGCTCCACAGGGGAGCCTGATATGAAACAAGCATGTTGTGTAGGGGGAGCTTTTCTTTAACAGGATTAGCTGGGCAGGTGGGCCTCTCTTTATATGGTTGGCTAGGCCCTGAAAAGCATATGTGTGTCAAATTTTGGTAAATGAAGGAAATCTAAGAGAGTCGCTTTCCAAGTCCCCGTTGTGAATCCCCTCTGTAAAATGGAATCTTTTTTTTTGTAAAGTGAATCTCCACCCTTTTTGCAACCTGGCTGTTAGTCTAGCGCTGAGTGTCTGTAAGTGGGGCCATCTGCAGAGAAGCCCTGGAGCATGCCTCCACCTCCGCTGCAGGCCAAGAACAGCAGCAACACAGCTGGCTTGGGGCTGGGGATGGACAGAGTGTGACAAGGGAAGCAGAGTGGGTGTGGGGGCCACAATGAGGGGAGATCAGGAGGGTGCGCCTTGCCTAGCATGAGCAGCTCTGCTGCAGCAGTGGTGGGGTGTCCGAGAGACGGGTGTTCTTGGAGGCACCCAGCACGGAGGGGTCCGTGTCCAGCGAATCAGACATCTTGTCGCAAATGGCATCCACCAGGCGCTCAAAGGCCTGCCTCACGCTGATATTCTCCTTGGCACTGGCTTCAAAGAAGTCAAACCCTGAAGAGAGAGAGAGATACAGCTAAGGATTTTTCCCTTCCTTTCATGGCCCCTGGCCAGAAGACTCTGGATTAATACAGAGAGTGCTCAGGGGTTAAACAAGGAGACCCAAATCCATGAGCAGAGAATTCTGCTTCAAGGAGATGGTACAGAGCAGGGATTACCTGCACCAGTTTTAGAATCAGACAGATCCTGACTCTACCACTGACCCACTGTGTAATCCCCCAGAAAGTCACCTTATCTCTTCATGAATCAATGTCCTGTTTTATAAATAGGGATAATTTTACCTACCTCATAGAAGTATTAATGGACTAAACAAGATAATGAATATAAAGTATATAGCCCTTTGCCTGACACAGAGGTGAGTCATTAGATGTATTTTCTAATAGAATGGATACTTCATTATATGTGTACAGTATTTCAGTTTCCAAAGCATTTATCCTATCCAATATATCATTTGATCTTCATGTCACTCCCAGGGAGGAGAGGGCCCAGGAAGACTTTCCCCATTTCACTAATGCAGATGCTGTGGCTTAGAGAAATAAGCTCACTTGCCCAAGATAAGCAGAGGTACCAGTATGAGAAGCCCAGGCTTTGGCCTTCTTGGCCAGGACTTTCCCTCCTCTTTCCCCTGCCTCCCATTCACCCTAGCCTGGCCAGCACTAGTGTAGGCTCTGGGAGACACCCCAAGATCCACAGTGAAAAAGCAAAGCTCTATTTGCCCTTTCTACCCACAAACACAATGGCTTATCTCCACTCAGTGGGGTTTCTCCTTCCTGAATTCCCCAAATATCTCCCTCCCCTCACAGACCCCCAAAAAGGCCCAGGGAAAACTGCACCTAAAGCATGAGACATTCTTGTCTGTTTTGTACCTTGAGATCCTTAATGACACTTTCTGTGACAATAAACAGAACTTGGTTGTCCTAGGGAACACAAGAAAGGCCCTCCCAATGCAGACAAAGCAGCTAGTTTCCAATTGAGGAATCTTGGCCAGGTTGGTGGCAGCCCTTGGAAGCATAAGCTGCTTTCTCCATCATTCCCTGCCCTAGCCTCCTCCTTCCCCTTTTGTCTGTTTTCCTCTTTCCCTTCCTTCCAAGTCTATCTTTATTTCTCCTCAAAAACTTCTTTCTTCCCTTTTTTTCATTTTAGCTATTCTATTTCCCTCATGTTCCTTGCACTCTTTCTTTGGGCGTCTCTAATATTTATTGAGCACCTACTATATGCCAGATTCTATGCTAGGAGCTTTATAAATATCATCCTAATCTGCACAGCAGCCTGTTGTGTAGATATAATCTTTTCCAATTTATGAATGAGAAAACAAAGGCTCCAAGAGATTATATAATTTGTATAAGGTTACATGGTTTTATTAGTGGAAATTGGGGTTAGATCTGGGTTTGGCTGACTCCCAAGTCCATACAGAGCCCAGCCTCCTATTTTTTCTTCTTTCTCCATTTCACTAAACTTCCTTCTCCCCACCCTGCCCAATCATCTTTTTCTTCCTTTACAAGTATCTTTGGCCTCCTTTGCTTTTATCTGACTACCAAAGTGTCTTATTCTGGGTAAGTCACTTCATCTTTCTGAATCACTTAACCTCTCTGAGTCTCAGACTCCCCATTTGTTCAACAGGAATAATAACGCTGTCTTCCTGCTGAGAGCAGTTGGGAAGATTGAGTGAGGTCATGGATAAACTACTACACAAAAGTTGCCTGTTACAATGACAGTTTCTTTCTGCTCTTCTCCTTTCATCTGCTTCTCTCATCTCCCTCTTTTTCATCTTTTCCCATAAAGAAGGAGGGTCCCTTTCCTCCTCCCTCGGTCTCCCTAGTATCCACAAAGAGGCTGACGCTTCCAGGTACAAACAAGGCTCCTCTCCCCGCAGCCACCCCAGTTTGAAGGCACTCACGACTCCTGCCAGCCCACGTCCCGGTGACAGCTCCTCCTGTGGCCCATTTTCCAACCTAAGAAAGACAAGCTGCAGAAGTACTGGCTAATTGCAGTATGTGATGGAGAAAGAGGCAGCTCCTGGCTTATTATTCCCAGGCCGTAGAAACCTAGTCAGCTTCAGAGACCCTTCAGCGTGTAGCTTTTCCTTACTGAGTATCACAAAAATTGACTCTCTGGCCTTTGACTGGTTCGTTATAAGTGACAGTGTTAGGGGAGGTGGTGGGAGTGTTGCTTGCCTAGGAAAGGGACAAATAGATAAAGAAGTAAATAGGCCTAAACCATCAGTTTAGATGAATATGAGGATACAGGTCAAGGCTAGGGGCACACGTGCCTTCTGAAGAATTGGCACTGAGGGGAGAATACACCACATTGTGCAGGTGGGCAATGGGAAGAGGTCCAAAAGTTAGGCAGCCTTGATTTGAATATAGCCTCAGTCAACTACCAACTGTGCAACTGTGGGCAAGTTGCCTCATCTCTCTCAGCCTGTTTTCTCACCTATAGAATGGGGTAAATATTACATACCTCATAGGGTGGCAATGAGAATTTAACACACAATTGTATGTGAAGTGATTGGCATGTGTGATAGATACCTGGCAATTCTCTTTCCCTTATATTTCCATCCCACCTTAGTCCCAGCTTCTGTGCCCCTGCATCATCTCCTAGGACTTTTGGGGAAACCTTCATTTTCTTCATCATTCATTGTCAATTAATAAACCAGGTCTTTACTGAACATTGACTTTGTACCAGGTCTATGTTGAGTGCCAGGGACAAAGAAAGACCAAATCTAATTGTGGAGAAGAGACCCACTAACCCTAGTGTCAGTCTTCACATGTGCAGAATCCATAATGGTTCACAAATACAATTTTAAAACAACCTTGTGAGAGGGCTGGCTTAGCACTAATAATTTACAGATAGGGAAACCAAAGCTTAGAGGTGGGGTATGAGCCAGGGCCATATCCCTTATGCCCCCTTGTCTTGCTCTCAGTTGGAACAGTGACAGAACATACTATTTAGACCACATTTCTAACTCAGGGAGAGAAAACCAGGGGAATGCTTAGTGGAGGAGAGGGGAAGAAGCTTACAGAAGGTAGTGGGAATGGAAACCTTTAGGGCCAGTACTGAACAAAACTCTTTACCTGCCTAACTTCTCATTCTTCAGGACTAGCTTAGAGAGGGCCTCTTCATTCTCCTCTGTGCTTCCCTCTGCCAAAGCACATTTTACCCTGCATGGGAAAGTCCATTTGACAAGGAGCTCCCAAGCAGGGACCATGTTATTCATCTGAGCCTCTGCGCCAGCTACGGTAGGTGCTTGGTGAGTACTGGTTGAATGAACAGAATGAAGGAGGTGGGGATGAGCATGGAGGGTGTGGGTGAGGGGATGTGGACAGTCGGGGTCATAAGAACTCAGCTCAATGGGCATGGCAGATCCTATTCTGGGCATCGGGGACATTGAGGTAAATCAGGCACGGTTCCTACCCTTGAGGAACTTCTTGTCTGGTGCAGGAGAGACACAGTGACAATACTATAGTGATAAATGCTGGGATAGTGTGAAGTCTGGGGATTGTCAAGGGACAGAGGAGGTACCTAAATGAACCTGGGGGCCCAGGAAGGCTTCTTAGCTGGTTCCTAAGAAAATACCAGCTAGATAAAGACATGATTGTGAGTGGATGTGTGGGCACATGCATGGGCAGCACACCACACAGGAGAAAAAGTATGAGCACAGATAATGGGGCAAAACACAGCCTTGGTGCCCTGACCAGGTGTGGCTCAGTTGGCTGGGTGTCGTCCTGCAAAGTGACAGGTTGCTGGTCAGGGCACATGCCTAGGTTGGAGGTTCAGTCTCACGGTTGGGGCATGTATGAGAGGCAACTGATTGATATTTCTCTCTCACATTGATGTTTCTCTTCTCTTATTTCCCTCCCTTCTCCTCTCTCTAAACACATACACACACACACACACACACACACACACAGAGCACCGTGGTACATGCTCAAATGACCATTGCAGTTTGTTGTCACTGGAGTAGGAAGCTCACCACTTCTCAGCATTTTGACTAAGATCCAGTGTAGAGTAGAAAGCTCAAGTATAGAGTAGAGATGAGGTAGTAATTGGCCAAACATGGAGAGCTCATGTGTCATGCCAAGGACATGTCTCCACTGTCATCTCAAAGGTACCCAAGGTATAAGGACTCTGATTCAAGTAATCAGCTCATGGGCCTAGCCAGTTCTTCTGCTGGCAGAACTCCAAATTCACCCCCAACTAATTACTGCCAGTCTCCTAGAAGGTTCTTCATTAGTAGGCCCAGATGGTAACCTTTTCCTCAGGTTCATTAATAAGGATTCTCAGGAGCTGAAAATCTAGTGATGTCATGAAGATGACAACCAATTTATTAGACTAGCCCCCAGCCCTTTTCTCCTTCTAATTGACTCCACGACAATGGGATTTTTGCTGTCTTTAATAGGTCCCAATTCTTAACTGAATCTTATATGATTCCCTCCACCCCAAAATAATCATATTTAAACATCCAGTCCATAGGCAGCTGTCACAGAGCCACAAAACCACAAACTGTATCCACATAGCCTACTTCTGAATTTGACTTCAGGGTTCTATTTAGAAACTTGCAATCTACTAAATACACCTCTCCATCCTGACACTGCCCCAGAACATTGCTCCTTCACTTATATGTTCAGACCCCTTCTCCATTCTGCTCTGATGCCTCTTCATCTCCATCGTGTGTCAATCTTCAACTCATACCCCTCTGGTCACTGATGATTTTGGCAAGGGCCTCGCTGTCTTCTTTTCTATCCAGTGTTGTTCTTATTCTCAGGAGCTTTGGGTTTCATGTGCACAATCCATCCAACATCCTGGCTTCTTAATTTCTTGGCCATCTCATTTCAGCAACCTTTTCTTCCATTTTGTTTCAGCTATGCCCCTGTTTTTATAATCTGAGCTATTTTTATTTGGATTTGTGTCAGTGGAACTGCAAGAGGTCTGATTAATGTAATAGCTAGACTCATTGGCTTAACACCCATGACCCAGCCTCATCTTCCTGGGTC